GCACCGCGCTTCGCCAAGCTCGCCTTCGCCACCTACGACGGCACCGAGGACCCCCTCAACTGGCTTAATCAGTGTGACCAGTTCTTCTTGGGGCAACGCACGCTCGCGTCGGACCGCACCTGGCTCGCTTCATATCACCTCCGAAGCGCCGCACAGACTTGGTATTACGCTCTCGAGCAGGACGAGGTCGGCATGCCTCCATGGGAGCGTTTTCACAAGGCCGCCGATACGCGGGAGCCGGCTGGCAGAGTTGGGCCATCTCTCCTTCACCTCTACGGTGCAGGACTTCACCGACCGCTTTCAAGCCCTGGCGTGCCACGTGTCCGGCATGACGGCTCGCCAGCGGGCTGAGCTCTTCGTCGGCGGTCTGCCGGATCATATCCGCGTGGACGTGGAGCTGCGGGGACCCCAGGACCTCCAGACGGCCATGTACTACGCCCGCGCGTTCGAGCGCCGCGCGGTGGCCATCCAGGAGGCGTCACCGTCCCGGGCTGCTGGGCCACCACCCTGGCCGGACGTTCCCGCGCAGGGTCAGCCTGCTTAGGCTTCTGCGGCACCCCTCGCCGCGATTGCGCGTGCCCGTTCCTCCGGCTCACCCGGCCGAGCAACTCGAGCGTCGCCGCCAAGGGTTGTGCTTCAACTGCGACGAGCCCTACGTGTCCGGCCACATCTGCCCGCGACTCTTCTACCTTGAGGCCGCGGACTACATTGAGGAGGCCGCCGCCGCGGGGCTCGGCGACCTGCCCGCCCCAGCTGCCGCGGAGGTGTTTGGCGACGGTTGATCACCTCGAGGAGTTCCGCAAGCGCTTCCCCGCCTTCCAGCTCGAGGACGAGCTGTTTGTGCAGGCGGGGGGAAATATTATGACCGGCATATTAGGGGCTTAGCCTAGTTAGTTGTGGCCCAGTCTATCTTATCGTTATCAGGGGCTTAGCCCATTTATCGTATTAGGAGGATTATATAAACTCGTGTAAGGATCCGTTTTGGAATTAAGCAAGAAGCAATCATATTTGCTCGGCTTCCTTAGGGAGCCGGGAGACCTAACCATAGCCTCCCCCCTGCGCCATCTCCCTCTCAGCCGCCGCCTTCTTCCGCGCAACTACGGCGCCGATGCGCCGCCACCGGCGCCCATCTCCTCACCAACCAGCCTCCCACCCCTACAACCTACGGTTCAGGCCAGGTAGGGCCCAAGCTCCTACCAGATTGACACTCTAGGATTTGTCAACCTTTTTATGTGATTGCACCCTTTATCTTAATGATCCACATTCCACTGAGACACAGGTTAATAACTCCTAGAGTGACTATCACTGGATTGGTTAATTGGCGACTAGTTGTATTCTTTCTTAAATCTCTAGTTGGCAAACTTACATAATTACAAAGTCTTGGATCTTTATATCTGCCCAATAATGTATGGTTCGTATGCATATACTACCTTTTCATGGATTCCTTAGTTACCAAGCATCATTTGTTGTTGCCATTGACTTCCTGTTATTTCAGAAGGCATATTAATGAAGAAGAATGCTGATCATGTTCTTATGTTATAACTCTGCAGAATTTTGCAATAGACGGGAAGCTTGTGGTAAACTATGCTTTATCGGCAGCGTGGGGTTAAAAGATTGGATTTGCGGGAAGAATCGAATGGATCGAAAACGCCGTTTGAAATTTGACCGTTTTACTGTGTATAGCTGGAGTTGTAGTTGGTCAGTCAAAGAGGCACTAGCTCTCACATATGTTGATGATGAAAGTAAAGGTTCTTGCGAGACTGCCTTTTCTGGCATTGAACTGTCCAAGTGTTCTCTCTCTCTACAGTATGTTTATTGGTTCTTGATTCATGTCGTGTGTGTGATTGGGCCTAGAGAAACGGATGGATTTTTACCTAGGAGCAAATTTGGGTTTTTTTAATCGTAGATTGGATTTGGTTCATGGCGGCGGCGGTATTTTTTCTTAAGTCTTCTTATAGTGGTATTTATATTTGCTCTGTCGTGAGTTGTAATTTTTCTTCTCATGACAGAGTACCGAACCACTTTGAAGTTGTACGAAAGAATCGTCTTGCCAATACGTTTTTTTTGGGTCAAATCAATGGCTGGGATTAAGTTCTGAAGATCTTACTAAGGGTTATAATTTGTTTACTAAGGAGTAGGTTAGTATTGAAAAAATGTTTAGGATTATAAAAATCTGACGGTTGTGGTGTAACCAAAAGAAGGTCCATCAAACATGCCGTTTTGATCGTTTTATAGTGTATCTCCTTCTTTTTGTGGTATTGTGTTTTTAATATGTACTGCTCCAAACTAATTTAAGTTCTAGGTTTGTCCTAATTTACAAAGTACATTAACATCTACAACACCAAATTACTTGCATTTGGTGTTTTTTTAAATACATTTTCATTTCATATATAATTGATGTTGTAGATCTTAGCTCATTTTTGTATAGGCTTGGTCAAGCTTTTTTTTTTTTTTTGCGGGGCGGCTTGGTCAAGCTTAAAAAGGATTGATTTAGAACAACCCCAAAACTTCAATTAATTTGAAACAAAAGGAGAAATAGGCATACACTTGAAAGAAGATGGATATCCATCTTGTAGATCTTGGGTTTCGGTTGGGTTATCTTACCCGGGTGCCGACGCCACAGGCTAGGGCAGCTGTCACACGCTCACATGTCTCTCTACTTATTCAAATGTTTCGACGGCTTGATTCTATGCTCTTCTTCGTGAGCATTTTTGTTTTTGATGGGAGATGGTAGCTCGGGCTATATTCAGCCGGTTTGGATGACGTTTACGTAATAGGATAGGCAATTAGTTTTTTTATCTTTCTTTTGCCGGCCGGTTGTGGCTTTTATTCTCTGCTCTTCGTGAGCATTTTTGTGGTTCGTTTGTTTAAGACCTCATGACTTGTATTGAACTTATTTGCTTTCTAATAAAGGTGACCGTATGCATCTGATGCAGAGGCCGGGGTTACACCCCTTTTCCAAATATAGTGCTACTATTCACCTCCGTGGTTGCGTATTACCCATGCAAGGATGAACTTGACAACTGTGCAAAAAGGGAATAAATTCTAAAACATCAAGAAAAGAACAAATTCATGAGAAAAAGGGACAAGCCCAACGATGTATGCAGCCCCGTGCAAAAAGGAATAGAAAAACAAGAACTCAAAAGAAAAAATCTACATGAATCTTCGCATAAATTCAAACAGTTATATTAACAAGTCCATATTACTAGTAGACAGAAGAAAATCCATGTAGCATCAATCTCGCAGATCTTGGGTCGCGGCCGGACAAATTTGACCGGATGCGGACGCCCATAGGGGTGTGTGTCACACTCTCCCTCTGTAGAAAAATGGTGAGTGTCACACATTCACACGTCTCTGCTTATTACATTATTGAAATGCTGCGTCAGCACGATTCCCGCATAATAACTATACTTACTGCTACTATCGATGCCCGATCTAGATCTAACCAGCCGAGTTGAAAGAAAATATCTACCATCAGCTCCGTGGAAGTGCCCGTCCCTATATCACACCCCCATCACCCAGTTGGTGAACTCACTCCAGGTCTCCAGCAACCATATCCCTTCTCCTGCCCCGGACTCCTGCAGCATCTGAAGCTCGCCTTCGCCGCGCGTCTGCAGGTAACTACGATGTTTTTCTTGCTTAAGATCTTATCAGAAAAGTTGGGGTGTTGCTGCAGACTGTGTTCTCTCGTGCTCGCGAGCTTTAGGTTTGAGGACCTTATTCTGCATCGTGGTTAGGATGTTTTGGTAGAATCATCCGTATGCTGTCCTGTGTCGCTGTCCTAACCCTCTGTGCTTTCAGCTTGTTATCCCCTCCAAATAATATGTCAACGCCTCGTCGACAGATCTAGCTGCGGTGGGGAACGATAGCAAACGAAAGAAAATTTGTTGCTTGATCTGGAACGAGATAGGCTTGCTCGATCTATGTCACAGTAATGGTGTTCATGTTTTATTATTATTATTGTAAGGTGCCTAGCTTTGTGAGGATCTGAGGCTTTGTTCAGGGATCATTCTTTCAGAGATGGTCAACACCTCATGTTGCTAGATACGCTGACTGTGCTGCCATCGGTGTACACCGAGCTGGGAGTTTCTTTTCTGTTTTCTCCGTTGGCTGTGGCCTTGTGGGGTGGTGAGCTGGGCCTCTGATTAACAGATGAAGAGCCTGTCACGTGGTATACATGCACCCTAGTTAGACTCCGTGGGTTCACATCGAGGCGTATTTGAGTGTATCCAGGTAGTTAGACTCTGTCGGTTCACATCGAGGCGTATTTGAGTGTATCCAGGCCAGCCCCACGGAAACGAGAGTTCTGTTATGGAACCTCTTCTATGTGCAGAACATAGGAGTGATTATTGCATATTTCTGTTATAATACTTGAGTGATTCAGGAGCAGGGTTTAGTAGCCTTATAAACCGTCTATGCTTGCTCTACCTTTGTTTGCAGGGCACTACATGAAGTGACCTAGAACACATGGAAGGGGATACGTTCCAGGAAGAGGTCAAATGCCTCATGGAGGTGAAGCACAAAAACGTCGCACAGTTTCTAGGATATTGTGCCGACACACAAGGGAGAGTGGTTGACTTTGAGGGAAGATTTGTAATGGCAGATGCACGACGTCAGTTCCTCTGTTTTAAGTATCTACGCAAAGGTAAGAACATGTGCTGACATCTTTTTTGGGTCATAATTATTGGTTCCCATCTGGTAACAACAATTACTGTGGTGCCATATACTCCAGCATATGAAACTAAAGTACTTCAACTATCTAGAATACTAACTCCTCTATCTTCTCTTTGTGTATAGATACATACAGTGGAGTTGAATGGAGAGAGCACTATGAAATAATCAAGGAAATTGCAAGGGTTTATGGTACCTTCACCGTAATCATATTGTTCACTTGGACCTAAAACCTGATAATATATTGTTGGATGATAATATGGTACCGAAAATAGCTGACTTTGGTCTCTCAAAGTACTTTCGTGCCGGATTATCATTTCAAAATATTGATGAACATCGTAAGTTGGCTAATCTCTTGAAATCTTGATCTTTCTGTTAGCCATATATGAATCCTATTGCATATTTTAGTATTCATCCATCAATTTTCTTGCAGGGGTTATTTGGCACCAGAATTCTACGGTGGAAAACTCACATTCAAGTCAGACATATACAGTTTGGGTGTTATAATCATAGAGATATTAATATGTCATATGAAATATACCAAAGACTGCTCTGCTTTGAGTATATACCCAAAGGGTATCTTTATGATTATATCACCGGTCACATTCAAGTCAGACATATACAGTTTGGGTGTTATAATCATAGAGATACTAACATGACATATGAGATATACCAAAGATTGCTCTGCTTTGAGTATGTACCTAAAGGGAGTCTTCATGATTATATCACCGGTACGATCACCATACCATCTCTCTTTTTTACCAATAAAACTAGCACATTATCTCATGTAACCGTGCGGGAAATATATTTAATCATTTTCAATCTTTTGAGACACTGTGGTGTAACAACATTTTGTAAGAACATTAACTAGACTATCAGGCTTCCTGCAAAAAAAAAAAAAACTAGACTATCAGGCAGATGTGTTGTTTCTACGAGATCTTGTATTGATATGCGTAATTTAAGTTTAGGTCATGAGTTGAACAATCATCCATTTGTAAAGAGCCCACAAATGTACATGACATAGGTTCAACTATTATCATTTGCGACATGTTCATATTCACGATGATCTATACATACATGCAATGTTGGGAAGATCTATCAGCATGTGGTCATTAATTCATTCATTATGAGATGGTCCACCATGGTTGAATGTTTTTTCTTCTCCTTTCAATTTCTTGTTATCTCTATTTTTACCATCATACTAGAAGATTTGGTTCAAGCATCAGAAGCATATAATAAAAGTTACGTATAATGGAAGTTACTTGTTGTGTTGTATCTCTCTACTATTATAAGGACTTCAAGTATCTCAAATACTAAACATACTTTCATCTCCCCCTATTATAGATGCATCTCGTGGACTTGAATGGGGCAAGAGGTACCTAATTGTTAAAGGAATTTGTGAGGGCTTATATTACCTTGAACAAGAAAGCATTATTCACTTAGATCTGAAACCAGCCAATATATTGATGGACAACAATATGTTGCCCAAAATTGCCGACTTTGGTCTCCCAAGATGTAAGATGTTATGATGAAAATCAAAATTGGATCAATGTAGGCCGATTAAGTCTCTCAAAGCTCATCAATGGTGGCTTTGCAGTGGTTTATAAGGTATGCTAACTCTGAACTACTCTTGGTCTGATAGCTGAGTTTATGCTTTATTAGTAGAAAAGTTGAGTTTATTCTAGCAAGGCACGTTGGCTGCAGGGAATTCTTTAAAAGGAGGCAATCGCTGTGAAGAAGCTTTCCAACACGTCTTATATTCATGGTAGTGAATTCTAGTGAGAGGTTGAATGTCTGATGAAGGCCAAGCACAAAAAGTACGGTTTATGAGTTATTTGGCTATGCACATGGGGAAATGGCTTCCTACGAGGGAAAATTTTCCATGGCAGATGTACAACAAAGGTTGCTTTGCTTTGAGTATCTACCGAAAGGAAGTCTTCGTGACTATATCATCGGTAGGATCACAAAGCACATAACATGCTTTCGATGTTCGTTTTCTTTCTTTTGATCATCCACAATCGTAGTAGTACTAGTATATAAGTATATACTCTCGTCAACATCTAGCTAGATTTTAGAGATTACGAACTTTAAGTATCTCACACAATAACCTGTTTAAATATCTTTTCTTCCTTGTGTAGAATGCTTATGGATATGAATGGAGAGAGCGCTATAATATAATCAAAGGAATTTGTGAGGGTTTAAGTTATCTCCACAAGAACCATATTGTCACTTCGACTTAAAACCGACAAATATACTTTATGGAATATAATATGGTTCCTAAAATAGCTGACTTTGGTATCTCAAGATGTTTTGATGAAACAAGGACTTGTTATTACTTCAAAAGTGATGGGATTAGTGTAAGCCGGCTAAGCCTCTCGAAAACTCTCAAGCTCTTTTTTTCAGGGTTCACTTTTAAATTATGTATTCATTATCTTCTCATTTCATGCAGGGGATATACTTTACTAAAAGTTCTTTTCAGTGGAATAATCACATTCAAATCAGACATATACAATCTTAGTCTATATATCAATAATTATGGAGATATTGATTATGATGAAGAGGTATTTTGAAGTTGATTATGTATGAATTTATATCACCCTTCAATGATAAAATGTTCAAATACTGATGCCATGCCTTTTACTTATGCATACTTTGGAAGCACACCCAGCAGCCCTAAGCACAAATTAGCTGCAAAAGACACAACAGACTTATTGTAATATAAATCTATAGTTATGCAAAGGGGGTAAAATGAACACATTCTTTAATACAATCTGACACTACTTTATCTCTGTTTCTTTTTAATTTTACCGAACAGTAGAACACAGATTACATGGTGCAGTTTTTACATTTTTGTTATAAATTATTGTTAGTCTGATATTGTAATTTAGTAATTTATGTGGTTTGCACATTAACATCATGTTTATGGGGTTCGTATGCAAAAGTTACACACTTAATTGCTGATTACATAGATGTTGATCCTTTTCATTAACCCACATCTCACTGTTGCAATTGAGCAGGTACTCAAAAATTGGAGGAATAGATTGGACAGATCACTGGGAGGCAGACAACTGGAACGAGTATGCTCTGAGTGATGGAGTGCATTGACACCGAGCCAGCGAGGAAACCAAGTCCTTAGCATATGAGCAAGCACCTCAGCCGCCGGAGGGGTCGATGCTCGTCAATGTGGATGCAACGATCTTCTCCCAATCTGCAAGAGCGGGCTTTGGTCCAGTGATACATAATCACCTGGGAAGGGTGCACAGGCGGTGAACAGAGGCTACTTCGAAAGAGTTCAAATTCCTGAAGTAGCAGAAGCCATGGCACTTCTTCAAAGCCTTAACCCTTGCCAATAAATCTGGTATAATGAAGATCATGGTAGCATCTGATTGCCTATCATTGGGTTTAGGTTTTGATAGGTCCCCTACTGGAGCCATAGTCCATGATATTAGAAAATGTGCCACAAAATTTGTATCTTGTACTTTTATCCATGTCAATCGTTCTTGTAGGCACTAGGCAGCACATGTTCTGGTATCCATGTCAATCGATTCTTGTAGGCGGCATATGTTCAGCTAAATCGGCAGAGCATGATGTTTGGTCCTGTTGGCTTAGTGGGTTCCCTGATGTAATCAGGACCATTATATGTAACGAATCAGTTATGAATGAATAAAAGGGTGCAACTGCCCATTACCTTGAAGAAAATGCTACTTCCTGCAAGAGAAAAGAAAGAAAAAGAGAACCTGAGTACAACAACAATCGTGAGGACTTCACAGTACTTGGTAACGATTGAGAAGCGACGAGCAAAGAATACGGCCACTACTACTAGGGTGAACAGCAACTGTGGGAACAGTGTGTCACTATTTTAGAGAACAACCTCTTCGTTTGTTTTATTTCTTCTCAATCGTGTCTCTGCAAAGCCCGTCACAAGGTTCAAACACATACCGGAAGCAGGGACAGAACAGAGAAGCTCCCAATGTGTTGTAGTATTTCCTGCCATTGTTTATTTCACAGCGATCTATCTAATAGTATAATATAATACTACCTCCATTCCAAAATAAATGTCTTAATTTTGTATTAATTTTAGTACAAAGTTGTACTAAAGTTGAGACACTTATTTTGAGATGGAGGAAGTAGTATATATAACAAGTATGTGATGGTTATCCAGAAAAAAAAAACATGCTAGAAAATCCCGTTAGAAAGGAGAAACGTACATCCATTAATCGATCAGTCATTAAAATATGACTTGGATCTTCTTTAACCTAACAAAACATCATCCAAATTGTTATGTTTAGCAATTATAAGCAATCAATGTTTTAGATGTACTTTATCTTCGGTTCATCTCAGTTCCTCCCTTCCCTTTTCTTCTAGTACTCGATCTGGCCCATTCTGACGGGTGGAAGACTTCCAGATGCGATTATGCAATGCGTGCGTTGATAACGAAGGCTTTGTCTTGAAGCCTTGGATCGGACTACGGCAAAGCCATTATATGGGTACTTGGGCTTCGACATGTTTGGGTCACGGCAATCCGGAAGGCCATGGCTTCCCTTACTATGCTTGTTGGTTGGGCCATTTGGAATGAGAGAAACGCTAGAGTTTTTAGGAAGAAATCAACGCCGCCCTTTACATTCTAAAACTAATCCAAGATGAAGCCAAACTTTGGGTCACGGCAGGAGCTACGCACATGAGCATTATCATGCCGCGAGAGTAGTTATTGTTTTCATTTTGCTGACGGACGGGCTATGTTGTGGAGCCACTATTATGTACTCTAAAACTCTCCTTCTTTATTAATGAATGAGGCAAGTCTTTTGCCTCTGTTTCAAAATAAATAAATTATATCGATACTTCACTGGGATCATACTCTTGGGGCCAATGACCCGTTGTTGGTTGTGTATTATTCACATACACTGATGTGTACTTTGTACTTGAACAAATTGCAAGCTGCGACCGGCAGCACTTTCAACGATGAATGTGCTTCGACCTATGTCCCATTTCAAACATTTTATGAAAATTGACGTGTGCCCGCTATGAACTAGTTCAACGGGTAGCATACACGTGAGATATAGTTTGATAGTAGAATTGATGAAAAAAGGGAAATGAATTTGAAAATAGAAGAAAACTGAAATAAAGATTAAAACCCAAAAAGAAGAAACTGCTAGCTTGGGGTTTGGAGCAGACACCCGCGGACACTGTTCGGAGTATGGGCTCTGGCCTGCGGGGGCACACCCTTCGTAGGAGTTAAGTGTCAAATGGGTAGTTAAGTTTTTGATTTTTGACAAAATCATCATGCATAAAATATGATGCACGCTTAGATTTATGTTCACACACAAGAAAAAGAAACAAAAATTTAACCAGGAAGTGAAAAGTAAATAACAAACGAAAACGAAAAGAAAAAAGGGATAAAAAAGCTGAAAAACTGGATCAGAAAACTAGATAAGAAACAGAAAAGGAAAAAAAACAACAGCAGAAAAAGAAGAAGAAATGGGCCGAACCATTCGCAAAGAGTGTAGAATAGGAGAAACCCTCGTTCAGGCCAGTGATTTGTTCTCACAGTCGCAGGGCTCCACCAGTAGCCAGCCCAGGCCCAAGTTTATGCCGCGCGCGCTCTCGTTACGTGGGCTGGCCACCGCCGTTCGATCATCTCATCCGGACCCGATCCAACGGTCAGCTTCATCGAAGCTCAGTCTTCCCCGGGAAGGAGCCCGCGACGCC